TACTCGTCCAACGACACACAATACTCACATCAACACAATCACTATAGACAGCTTGCATTCTCTGATGAATCTCCTTTGGGATGACACCTTCTGCTATCAAGAATTCAATGACTGCACGTTGCTTAAGTCGCATTGACTGACCGTCTGCGCAGGGTTCCATACTTCACACTTTAACAACACAATCGTTCAATGCTAAGGCTTCCTGCCAAAATGGAACTGTAGAGGAGAGTCTACTGAACAATCCAGTACCTGTCACATACCAGTACTGCCATCTGTTGAGGAATTACGAAAGTGGAGGCATTACTTTTCATTTAACCCTCATATCAGAGTAAATTGATGTGTATTTTTTTTTTCGTGTCAGGAGCAACCACTCCTGTTGTGGGAGAATTGGCCGTCTGCAAGGACGTTGCTCAGGGGACGCCTGGATGATTTATGATGTTTTATCATCCTTGTGGGAGGCTTCTCTCATGTCCCCGCATGAGGAGCTGGAGCCGATAGAGGGAGCTCATCCGCCTCTCCCGGGATTCGAACCTGCGACCTGTCAGTCTTCAGTCCTGCCAGCACAAGGCTTTAACCCATTGCGCCACCGGGGGCTCCTACTGATTTGCTGAGATGTAGTCTCAAAAGTAAGTTTCCATGCTCCATTACAATATAGCAGAGGTGGGACTCATGCCACTTTCCATAGACATTGGACTGCAACTTTCATAATTCTTTGCTTTTGGCAAGGCTGGCTGGAATTGTGGGGACTCCAGTCCAAAATCACCTTGGGGAAACAGTTGTTTCTCACTCCAGACTGAGCCATAAAGCAGTTTGATCTTAGTATAAGAATTTTTATCAGGTTACTTAGCAAATGTACAGTAAACTATACAATGATCCCAATAATACAATGGATTCTGTCCTACCCATAAACCAGTGCCTATCAGCTGTAATGGATTGGATGGGGGCTAATCAGTTGAAATTAAATCCAGACAAGACTGAGGTACTCCTGGTCAGTTGGAAGGCAAATCAAGGTGTGGGGTTACAGCAGCGCCCATACCTCGAGATGCCACATCTGGCCATAGTAGTCCATGCCTTAGTCACACCCCGCTTGGACTACTGCAATGCTCTCTATGTAAGGCTCCCTTTGAAGATGGTTCATAAGCTTCAATTGGTTCAGAGATTGGCGGCCAGATTGCTAACAGGAGCTCTATACAGGGAGAGATCCACAAACTATGAACCAAGTTGTAGATTAAGATCTTCCAGGGAGGTCCTGCTCTCAGCCCCACCAGCCTCACAGGTGTGGCTGGTGGAGACGAGGGACAGGGCCTTCTCGGTGATGGCCCCATGGTTGTGAAACTCCCTCCCGAGTGAGATCAGATTGGCCCCCTCCCTCCTGACCTTTAGGAGACAGCTAAAGACCTGGTTGTGGAACCAAGTGTTCAGCCCATCATAGGAATATTTAAAGTGAAAGTTGAAAATGCAGTGACCCAGGACTGTTTACAACAACGGCTATGTCTCTGTGTGATAGGTGATGTTATTTTATGTGATGTTTAATAATGTTTAATGTTTTATTAGGGGTGGGTCGATTTTAATGTTTTATACTGTTTTTATAGATGGCATTGAATTGTTGCCAACACTGTGAACTGCCCTGAGTCCCCTTCAGGGTTGAGGACAGTATACAAATATTGTAAATAAATAAATAAATAGTGTTGTAGCAGCTCCACTGGCTGCCAGTCTTCTTCCGGACTAAAGTGCTGGTCATTACCTTTAAAGCCCTAAACGGCTTGAGTCCAAGCTATTTGAGTGATCGCATCTTCTCTTACAAACCTGCCTGGGCGCTGCAGTCATCGGAGGAGGCCCTGCTCTTGGTCCCACCCCAATCCCAAGAACGGCTGGTGGGAACGAGAGGGAGGGCCTTCTCCATGGTCATCCCCCACCTCTGGAACGCCTTCACTAAAGAAATAAAGCTGGTCCCCTCTCTCCTCTCCTTTAAAAACGACTGAAGACCTGATTTTGCTCACTGGAATATGGAGAGTAGGAGGATTAGATGGTTGAGAGATAAGTACCAGGCATCTGGTTGAGAACTATTCATATTGGGCTTTCCTGGTCCACACCAGCCCAATGACCTCATTGGACTACATAGCCAACCCACACCATTTTGTGAATCCTTGCTGACTGTTGTACACTAATGCGGATGTTTTGTTTAGATTTATGTTATTATAGAATTTTGTCTGATTACGTGTAGCTTAATTTATTGATGTCAGCTTTAATTTACTGGTGTAAGGTCTTAATTTGACATTATGCTTTAATGTTATTTTTATATGTGGGGTTTCTGGGATTTTATGTTAGTATTGTGTGTTTTATGTAGGCATTGAATGTTTGCCATTGTTATGCTGGAATCCGCCCTGAGTCCCCTCAGGGGAGATAGTGTGGTACACACACACACACACACACACACATATATATAGTTGTTTTGGTGGTCAAGTTGCCTCGCATACTTAATTCAGCATCAGAAGCTGTAAGAGGCAACCTTTCTCAATAAACATTTTCCCAAACTTTCAGATTCTGTTAGAGAGCAATGCCAATGATAAAACTTCATCCTTCTGACAAGAAAACCATTTTTGAGTTATTATTCCTTTCTGGAATATTGTTAAATGCCAAGTTCACGTTCTTAATAGAGTTTACAACTGAGATCTGAAGTCAGCATAGGATGCCTGAAAGCCAACCATATGGTCCTCAGGACTATTCAAGTGTAAGTGTTCCTATTCCTACCCAAGTACAGCCAAAGCTTGGTGAAGGAGATAATTCTAAGTGTAAATCCATTGTTGCCATTTTGTTCAATTCATGCATTTGAATGGCATTGTCAAATTCCAAAGACTTTATTAAAGCCCCAGGGAAATAGGTCTTGTACCACTGCTTCAAAACGCTTTTTATAGTCTGACATAGCTAGAAGCTGCTTCCTAAAGTTTTAGACGGTTCAACACCAATTCACCTGATGTTTTGAACTTTTTTTTCATGTCAGGAGCAACTTGAGAAACTGCAAGTTGCTTCTGGTGTGAGAGAATTGGTGTCTGCAAGGACGTTGCCCAGGGGATGCCCAGATGTTTGATGTTTTACCATCCTTGTAGGAGGCTTCTCTCATGTCCCTGCATGGGGAGCTGCAACTGACAGAAGGAGCTCATATACAACTTCAAGGTCTATCTGCTGAAAATCTTGGACATTCTGTTTTTCATACTGTTACAGCCATACTTGTGCAAGCAGTCTCATTATATAAGGGTCAAGTTTCCAGAAAGTATTCCTTCCCGTATCAGAGGCATTTGCCAGAAGCATCAACTCCTGAAGCGATAGAAGAGCTCAACAATGGATTCTATTGAGGAAATGACAAATGAAATGGTTCTGGCCAAACTAAGAATTTGAGATCCTCTGAGGCTGAAATGTCTTACCACTTTCAGATAACTCAAACTTCTGTAGATGTAAGGCAGTTAGACACATGTTTGGTCAAGTTTAGTTGACTCAGTGCTTCCATTTTCGGGGTTTGGGGCTTTTTGAGGCTCAAAATGGGGTGCCAAAGAACACATACACCACACTTTTCCTACCCTGTTGCACAACTTGAGTTTGGTGTTCAAACTTGTAACCTATAACAAAACTATTTATGTGCCTTGTGCCTTGACTTAGATCAGTTTTATAAATAGATAAATGTTCAGAAAGGGGTTTCTTGTGGATCAAAAGCACTTTAAATCAGCTGGGTTTGGGTTGTCAATGACAAGCTCCCTTTTGGAGTTATCCAGCCCAGTTGTACATGAAGATATATGAATAAAGGTTATTATGATTTCTCCCTGCCATGGGAAACATACCTCAGGCAGCTGTTCTGCAGACTTTCAAGATCAAGGATTCCTCTAGTCTCAATAAAAACTGTATCCAGTTTTTTACCCCATTAAAAAACATTCTGCAGAGTGAGAAACCCAATTTTGCTAATTCCTCCCTACTCCCTGCACTTCAAAGGTCCTCCAAACTTTGAAGACGTTTTCAAATGGTATGGAGCACAGCAATGGATCTGCAAAGATTAATAGTGTCTCCTTGCTCAAGCATTAGGTGCATTCTGTTTGCAAAAAGAAGCAGTTGGATACAACCAATTTCTTCCAATAAGAAACATTAGATCAGTGGTTCTCCGGTGTTTTGGCCTACAACTCCCAGAAATCCCATCCAGTTTACCAGCTGTTAGGAATTCTGGGAGTTGAAGGCCAAAACATCTGGGGACCCACAGGTTGAGAACCGCTGAATTAGATCATGTCATGTCTCCATAATTAGTACTCAATGAACATACTAAAGCTTAGCAAATAAAAATCCTATGTTTCTCTGTGTCACGGCAACTCATTAAAGGAAACACTTTTTCATGTCTTGTGATACAATTGGTCTAGACCAGGATAAAGGTAAAGGTTACCCTGACATTAAGTCTAGTCGTGGTGCTCATCTCCATTTAAGTCTAGTCTGGGGGGTGATGCTCATCTCAATTTCTAAGCCAAAGAGCCGGCATTGTCTGTAGACACCTCCAAGGTCATGTGGCCAGCATGACTGCATGGAGTGCCATTACCTTCCCTCAGAAGCGGTACCTATTGATCTACTCACATTTGCATGTTTTCAAACTGCTAGGTTGGCAGAAGCTGGGGCTAACAGTGGGTGCTCACTCCACTCCCCGGATTTGAACCACCAACTTTTCAGTCAGCAAGTTCAGTAGCTCAGCGGTTTAACCCACTGTGCCATCAGGGGGCCCAGTTACTAATCTTCAGTTCCTTGGGTACTTACAGCAGTAAACATTTTATTTAAAGCTCTAATATTTTCATCTTCTTTTTTCCCATAACATGGAGCACTGAGATTCAAAAGTTGTTGGGGAACAGCATTTTGCAAGGCATATGGCATTTCAGAAAGATATCAACACTGACTTGTCATAGAAAGAGACATATTTGATATAATAAAAATGTGAATTTCAGGTTTTTTCGCAGGTTAAGAGACTCAGAAGTGCATTTCTTGTTCACATAACTTCAGTGGTTTTATTTTAACACTTAGAAGATCTCCTGGACACTACAGCCACACAAACCAACGCGCAACCCCAGAGGATAAACTCTCTTTTCTCCAGGGGAAATTTGGTGTAATTTGTCTTCACTACAATTTTTAAGCTCATACAAGCTGCTGTGGAAAGCAGGAGTCACACTCACATGTACACACAAAAAGCTTTACAGTGACACATAAGGTGCAGTGTTCAGGGTCCTGTGGTTGAAGCAAAGAACGGGGCCAGGAGATCAAACCTATTGACTAAAGGAGGTGAGGCCACTCTGTTAGCCTGGAATGTGAGGTGTGGGCAGTGTTCAGTGTTCCTCCCTGGTGTACATGTGCTTCAGGAGGTCTGCTACACGGCAGCTGTAGCCATATTCATTATCATACCTATAAGACAAAAATAAAAAGTTAAGCCATTTTCTCATTCATACACGCAAAACATGCCTTAGGAGCCCCCAGCACAGTGATTCTCCACCTGCTGCGACCCCTTAATACAGTTCCTCATGTTGTGGTGACCCCCAACCATAACATTATTTTCATTGCAACTTCATAACTGTAATTTTGCTACTGTTATGAATTGTAATGCAAATATCTGATATGCAGGATGCCTTTTCATTCACTGGACCAAATTTGGCACAAATATCCAATACGCCCAAATTTGATTTTGTTATGTGGGAGTTGTAGTTGCTGGGATTTATAGTTCACCTACATTTTTAAAATCACCAATTTAAGTCGTCATCCTAAAAACGGTCTATCAGAGATTACTAAAACCATAGCTGGGATTTATAGTTTACCTACAATCAAAGAGCATCCTGAACTCCAGCAATGAAGGAATTGAACCAAATTTGGCATACAGAACTCCCATGACCAACAGAAAATACTGGAAGGTTTTGGTGAGCACTGACCTTTCGTTTTGGAGTTGTAGTTCACCTACATCCAGAGAGCACTGTGGACTCAAACAATGATGGATCTGGACCAAACTTGGCATGAGTACTCAATATGCCCAAATGTGAACACTGGGGAAGTTTCGGGGAAAATAGACCTTGACATTTGGGAGTTGTAGTTGCTGGGATTTATAGTTGACCTACAATCAGAGCCCCTTGAACCCACCAACAATAGAATTGGGCCAAATTTCCCACACAGAACCCCCACGACTAAAAGAAAATACTGGAGGGATTTGGGAAGAATCAATGGTAATTTAGGGGAGAGCATGCCTGCTCTTCCCTCCCCTTGGCTGAGAGGCCAGCTGAGAGATCAGCCAATCACAGCAGGGGGACGGCTTTTGGTGGGAGGATTCACTGTCTGCTTCCAAAAAGGAAGAGAAGGACAGGCAGAGAGATCTTCAGCCTTCTCTGTCAAAGGGGTTCCTAAAACCATCAGAAATATGCGTTTTCTGATGATCTTTGGCAACACCTCTGAAAGCCCCTTTGTAACTCCCCCTCAGGGGTCCCAACAACCAGGTTGAGAAAAACCGCTCTAACACAAGGTACTTTGTAGGTTTGGTGGGAATCTAGATCAGACTCCTAAATGATGGCAAATTCATTGAATAATGTGTCTCTCTCCCTCTGACCTATAGCCAGACTTTCTTATTCTAGTAGTTTTTTTGCAATCAAATTACTCAGCCACTTGATCAAAAAGAATGACAGGCCATCTTTTCACTGAGGTAACACTGCTACTCAGAAAAACAATTGTAATTTGTTTCCAAAAGGAATTAAATTTTAAAAAAACCCTGAAGAATGAGTTTTCTGGGTAGAAGTAGACTATTATGTAAAGATCTAAATTATCAGAATGTATCGAATCACTGAGGCAGAGCATTTGGAACAATGGCTTCAAACTACAAGAGAGGAGATTCCATCTGAACATGAGGAAGAACTTCCTGACTGAGAGAGCCGTTCAGCAGTGGAACTCTCTGCCCCAGAGTGTGGTGGAGGCTCCTTCTTTGGAATCTTTTAAACGGGCTGGATGGCCATCTGTCAGGGGTGATTTGAATGCAATATTCCTGCTTCTTGGCAGGGGGGTTGGACTGGATGGCCCATGAGGTCTCTTCCAACTCTTTGATTCTATGATTTTATAGCAAAAGAATGCATATCCTTAGCATATTTTTCTTCAGTTCCTGTAAAATCTGTTCAGATGGATTTGGTACCTTTTGGAGACAAGCCCCACAATTGTATGGATTCCCAAGTCTCCTCTTGGAGAAGGATTTTTGGGTAAGATGCCAACAATGTTTCAGTGTTGAAGAAGTGAGACAAAGGAAATAACCTTGTTCATTCTTACCAAGAAATGAGCTTCACAAAGTTATCATTCAGGGAGATCCCTGCTCCAGCATCAAAGATGGAGGAACGATTGTCACCAAGGAAATCAGTAGAAACAACCTGAAAGAAAGCCGATAGATTTCACTGCATATAAAGGAAAATTAAAAAAACTTCCATATGTGTGTCAAGTCATCACTCCACAATTCCAAGGTCAAGAATTTGCCAAAATTATTTTATACACACACATCAATCACAAAAGGTAATTGACAATGCTATGGAGATTATGATATTCTGTGTTTTAAAGCATCTGTAAACATTTGGTTTCAAACAAAAAAAGCCTTTGCTAAGTTAAGAACACAGATCAATTTAGAAACATCAATTATGTTCCTCAAAAACGAAAAATCAAAGGCTGCATCCCTTGTTTCTGATAAACTATAAGTCAGCTGAATTCTACATACAAGTTCACTGGTGTGCTTTGGGTGTTTACCATTCAACTCATCATGTCCACCTGAGAATATCACCCACTTACCTCATCTTCTGTATATCCCAGGATTCCTGCCATCGGCCCCTTAGATGCCTTCTTGACAGCTTCTTTGATCTGAGCATAGGTGGCTGGCCTGGAGAGGCGGCATGTCAGGTCGACAACTGAGACATCACATACTGGCACACGGAATGCCATGCCAGTGAGCTTCCTGTTAAAAAATAAATTTAGTTATTAAGGAAATTGGACCCGGATATTAAACTCACCCTTCAAGACAACTGAATACAGTGGGCAATACATCTTCTTAAGGGCCTCAGCACACTAGAGAAAAAATCCACTTAAAATGCAGTTCTTGCCTTCTGCAGATTTCTGGGGACCGTAGCTTAGGGAGGAGCCTTTAACAACCTCACTAAACTATAAACTCCAGAATTCTGCAGGAGACATAAACCGGATTTAAGTGGATTTTTTCTCTAGTGTAATGAAGTAGTTAGTAAACTTGGACATCATGCCAGAAGTACTGTTAGCTGTCCTACATAAATGCATTTTTATGTCAGACAGTGAAGTAAACTCCAGTGCTTACTCAATTCTCCAGAGCTCTTGTCAGAAAGGCAATGGAGGAAAAATAGAGAACAAAACGCTCTGCATATTTAGTGTAAATGTCTTAAATATGCCTAGGTGTGGAATCCATGGCAATACGTTGCTTCCCAATAACAGGAAAGCACTACTAGAGATAGCTTACAACTTGTAAAGGTGTTTCTGCGATATCAAACAACTAGGGCCCCTTCCACACAGCTGAATAAAATCCCATATTATCTGCTTTGAACTGGAATACATGGCAATGAGGACTCAGATAACCCAGTTCAAAGCAGATATTATGGGTTATTCTGCCTTGATATTCTGGGTTAAATGGCTGTGTGGAAAGGCCTGGGATGACTTAAAGACCAAAGCAGACAGCCTCCTTGGTGATGACCAAAGATAAGCCATGTTGCATACCCATTAAGCTCAGGGATGACCTTGCCCACTGCTTTGGCAGCACCAGTAGAAGCTGGGATAATGTTCTGGTGGGCCCCTCTCCCATCACGCCAGGCCTTGGCAGAGGGACCATCTACAGTCTTCTGAGTGGCAGTATAAGCATGAACAGTGGTCTGCAACACAAAAAGCAAGCTTGCTCAGAAATAAGCATAGACATTTTGTAGAAGTGTTGTTTCTAATTTAAGAAGACATGTCTCAGGTTTCTATGGAAATCTGACAGTTTTCCATTGCACGTAAAGATCGATAGAATTTATGAACAAGAGTTAACATGTTTTGATTAAAATTAAGTCATATATTGGCTGATATGAAACCAGAAAACTGATTTATATGCTAAAGTACTAGTAAAGGTGCTTGCTTTGTCTTTTTGGATATTTCAGTAGACAAAATGCAGAAACAATACACATAAACCCCACTTGCCTAGTTTCCAACAGACCTCACAACCTCTGAGGATGCCTGCCATAGATGTGGACAAAACGTCAGGAGAGAATGCTTCTGGAACATGGCCATACAGCCTGGAAAACTCACAGCAACCCAATACACAAAACATTCCCAATCTGTTGCTCTCAAAATGTTTTAGACTCATCATCTCCAGACAACAACATCTAAATAGTAGTAGCATATAGCCACACAATAAGACTTAATCCCATGTTATCTTCATGTACAAGGTTGGCATTTAAGGACTGAAGACAGTTCTAACTGTGTTGCTCTGAAGGGTTCAATCATTATTTATGTCTATATTGGTTAAGGAAAAGTGGGGATATGCCCCATTGTTTAAGATGTTCAGCATCCTCTTATTTAAATGGAAGCCCAGGAAAGAGAGAACCCAGGGTTTTTCAGGAAACAAAAGGCCCACTCCTGGATGCAAACTCTGCTCCCACAGGAAATCTTAGCTAGATGATGATGATGATGATGATGATGATGATGATGATTATTATTATTATTTTAACCCACCCTCTCTCCCTGAAGGCACTCAGAGCGGCTTACAAAGACAAAAACAACATAGAAATAAACAACAGTAAAAAAAAAACCAATTAAAACAAGCAATTAAAATTCAAAAATAATAATTGGTAAAGCCAGTAATAAGTTCCAGAAATAGCATAGTGAATTAATAGAGTCAACATGAGAAATGGAAACATGGCTGTGCAATGAGTTAGGGCAATATGTTCTCAGTCAGCCTCATCAGGCAGAATGGAAACATAAGAAGTTAATAAAAGCTAATCATCCTCCTCTACGAAGTTCTTACCATAAGGCCCTCCACAATGCCAAAGTTCTCATGAATGACTTTGGCCAAAGGTGCCAGGCAGTTAGTAGTGCAGGAAGCATTGCTGAAAAACAATTAGTGCACATTATAACTTTATTTCTTGAACAGTCTTTCATAAAGCGGCACTTGCAATACAGGAATAACTCACCCAGCTAGCCAACATGAAGACTGGAACTTTGGTTTTATGCTAATCCACACACAAATATAAATGAAACTTGCAACATAAATATCTATGTTTATCACTGCTTATAAACATAGATAAATATGAACAGAATTTTTATAGGCTAAACTATGTTGTCAATGTTTGTTCCATGAACAACTTTGGTTTATAGTCCTCTCTTCTGGACTTCGACTTTTAAGTGCCTGATTTGAAAACTTTCTCGGAACCCAGCCGAATTTCAATTTTCTACATAATCAAGACTTCCCCAGCCATTTGGAGGGCAGATACAGCTGACTGTTGTATATTCTGGACCCATATACACAGCTTTTTGCTTTGTATAAGAATAGTTTGTGGAGCAAAAATAATAAAAAGGAAGACTTTGTTCTCGTGTAGCATTACTTTCTCCACTATCATATGCTATGTCACAAACAGGTTGAGATGACCTGCATCCATGTTGTGTGCATGACCCATTTCAAATGAAATGGGTCCCCTGGAGTCTGACCTTAAAGTGATATTAAAGTAAAGCATTTCATTAACTCTTACCTCACAATATTCATGGAGGATGGATCATACTTCTCATGATTGACTCCCATAACAAACATAGGAGCATCAGGAGATGGTGCGGTCACTACTACTCTCCTGGCTCCACCAGACAGATGAGCCTACAGAAGAAGAAAAGCTTTAAGTCAGTCATGTTCTGAAGATCAAACTATGCTACAAAAAAAATAGACATTAAGAGTAAGATGGAAATATACTGCATGGTCAGAGAGCCTATAATAGACTGCACTCTCTGATACAGCAGACATCTCAGCCCATTCATTTAAAAATCAATTGTTTTAAGAATTTCTGGGTAAACTACATAGGTGAAACTTCCAAATACTTACTGAAGCTTTGTCAACACTGAGGAAGACTCCGGTAGACTCCACTACATACAGAGCTCCTGCATCTCCCCAAGGGATCTCAGTTGGTTTCATGCTGTGAAATATAAGATCGTAGCACTATAAGGATAAGCTATGCAATTGATTTCTACTGAAGCAAATTTACTATGAGGCAGTGAAATCTCCCAGAAATGACTGCAATTAAAATACACATGCTGCTATAAACATCTAGTACAATGTACCATATATGCTCAAGTATAAGCCAGCCCGAAAATAAGCTGAGACATCTAATTTTACCACAAAAAACTGGGAAAACATGTTGACTCGAGTATAAGCCAAAGATGGGAAACACAGCAGCTACTGGTAAATTTCAAAATAAAAATAAGATACTGATAAAATTACATTAATTGAGGCATTAGTAGGTTAAGTGTTTCCAAATATTTACATAAAACTATAATTTAATTTAAGACAGTCCAACTCTGATTAAATTGTTATTCTAACCATCTTCAATGTAAATGTGCTTACATGTCCTTCCAATAATAATAGAGTAAAATAATAAATGTTATAAAAATAATAGAGAAAAATAATGTAAATGTAATAATAATAATAATAATAATAATAATAGCATAAAATAATGTAATAATAATAATAGAGTAAAATAATACATGTAATAATAATAATAATAATAATAATAACAACAACAACAATAACAGAGTAAAATAATAAATAACCTTGACTCGAGTATAAACCAAGGGGGGCTTTTTCAGCCTAAAAAAGGCTGAAAAACTTGACTTATACTCACGTATATATGGTAAGTAGAATCAGAATCATAGAACAACAGAGTTGGGAAAATAAATTTAAGATTTTTCTTCCACCTTATATCCAGCAAATTTTTTACTTCTCTGGAGACAGCATTTTATGTCTCCAGACCAGTACATAAAGTCTTTCCCTTTCTCTTAAATTTATATTGATAAAATGGTTTCCATTCTTCTAAGAATCTGTCCAATGACTTATCCTTCAATGACATTGGTAATTTGTCAATTTCTATTATTTCCTACATCTTTACTATCCAGTCTTCTGCAGCTAGTATCTCTCCCATTTTCCACTTTTCAGCATATGATATTCTTGCCACTGTGACAAAACTTACATTAGTGAGGGAATTGATGTTCCCAGTGAGAACAAAATGATAACACTCCAGCTTAACAATCTCTGGTACATCAGCAAGTTCACATCAAACTAGACAAAAGCCAAATTACCACTGATTTATTTCTATGACAACAAGGAGTCTATTCACTGCATTTTTATCCTGTTCTTCCTCCAAAGGTCAATTTGTCTTTTCTTCTAATGCAGTGGTTCTCAACCTTCCTAATGCCGTGACCCCTTAATACAGTTTCACATGTTGTGGTGACCCCCAACCATAAAATTATTTTCATTGCTACTTCATGTAATTTTGCTCCTGTTATGAATCATAATGTAAATATCTGATATGCAGGATGTATTTTCATTCACTGGACCAAATTTGGTACAAATACCCGATACACCCAAATTTGAATACTGGTGGGGTGGGGGGCATTGATTTTGTAATGACATGGGAGTTGGAGTTGCTGGGATTTATAGTTAACCTATAATCAAAGAGCATTCTGAACTCCACCAATGATGGAATTGAAGCACTCTTGGCACATAGAACTCCCATGACCAACAGAAAATACTGGAAGGGTTTGGTGGGGATTGACCTTGAGTTTTGGAGTTGTAGTTATCTACATCCAGAGAGCACTGGGGACTGAAACAATGATGGATCTGGACCAAATTTGTCACGAATACTCAATATGCCCAAATGTGAACACTGGTGGAGTTTCAGGAAAATAGACCTTGACATTTGGAAGTTGTAGTTGCTGGGATTTATAGTTCAAACTACAATCAAAGAGCATTCTGAACTACATCAACACTGGAATTGGGCCAAACTTCCCACACAGAATCCCCATGACCAACAAAAAATAGCTGTTTCCTGATGGGCTTTGGCGACCCTTCTGATGACCTCTCGCCCCCCCCCCCCCCCCCGGGGTCCCGACCTCCAGGTTGAGAAACACTGTTCTAATGGTTCTGTGAGGAATCACAATATAAGTTTCTACTCTATGCTGGCTGCTCTATGTACAAATTCAATGCTCTCTTGTGGTCAGTTGAGAATTAGTGACACAGAACTAGCTAAAAATCTCAGGGACTTTCTACTCAGGTTCGATCAATACTGTGCCTTTTTTATCTCCACTTACCATTGGAATACAGATATTTTTGAGCCATTCACTACTAATTTGCCACCATCAGCCTTCACCTCTCCTTTGAAACGTCCATGAGTGGAATCATACTTGAACATGTAGACCTAAGCAGAAAGACAGGAATCATAAAAACATATTAAACTAGATTTTTTATTGTGTTGTCAAAGGCTTTAATGGCTAGAATCACTGGGTTCCTGTGAGTTTTCCAAGCTCTATGGCCATGTTCCAGAAGCATTCTCTCCTGATGTTTCGCCAATATCTATGGCAGGCATTCTCAGAGGTTGTGAGGTTTGTTGAAAATTAGACAAGGGAGGTTTATATATCTGTTGAAGACCAAGGGTGGGAGAAACAGACAATGGGCAAGAGTTCTCCCACCTTTGACCTTCAACAGATATATAAACCTCCCTTGTGTAGTTTCCAATATACCTCACAACCTCTGAGGATGCCTGCCATAGATGTGCGTGAAACGTCAGGAGAGAATGCTTCTGGAACATGACCACACAGCCCAGAAAACTCACAGCAACCCACTGTTTTTATATTATTTATTTATTTGATGCATGTGTCTGGCTTCATTTCAAAAAGGGAGCATTATCTCTTGACCTTTTTAACTAGAAACAAGAAGTCTATGCAGACAGTATTGGGACTGTACTAGTCACACTACAACAAGAGGTTCTCAACCTGTCGGTTCCCAGGTTTTTTGGCCTACAACCCCCTGAAATTCCAGCCAGTTTACCAGCTATTAGGATTTCTGGGAGTTGAGGGCCAAAACATTTGGGGACCCACATGTTGAGAACCCTACAACACTATGAATCGGATATCCATGCACTGGCATAATATTTCCATAGGGCTTTATACATATTGAATCCAATTTTTACTTTGTTATTTTGAATCCAATTTCATATGTTTCATACTAGGGGTAGGAAATCACTTCAGATACTGGTATTCCCTGTAGTAACCTACGGATGTAAGAGCTGGACCTTAGGGAAGGCTGAGCGAAGGAAGATCGATGCTTTTGAGCTGTGGTGTTGGAGGAAAGTTCTGAGAGTGCCTTGGACTGCGAGAAGATCCAACCAGTCCATCCTCCAGGAAATAAAGCCCGACTGCTCACTGGAGGGAAGGATACTACAGACAAAGCTGAAGTACTTTGGCCACATCATGAGGAGACAGGAAAGCCTAGAGAAGACAATTATGCTGGGGAAAGTAGAAGGAAAAAGGAAGAGGGGCCGACCAAGGGCAAGATGGATGGATGGCATCCTTGAAGTGACTGGACTGACCTTGAAGGAGCTGGGGGTGGTGACGGCCGACAGGGAGCTCTGGCGTGGGCTGGTCCATAAGGTCACGAAGAGTCGGAGACGACTGAACGAATGAACAACAACACTGGTAATTGCACTGGTTTTCTGCTTGGTGACGAAAGGACAATGCCTCACATCACATATCTGTGCTTCACCCATTTTCCCCCAGTAGATTATTTATTGGTGGAAAATTGCACACGCACATGAGGGAATCATGATAGATTTCTGCCATTTTGTAAGGTGTCTCTGACCTACTTTTGCCCAAAAGATGCATATTGTTTTTCAAACAGCATTTATATTTCACCCTTCTCACCCCGAAGGAGACTCAGGGCAGATCACAGAAGACACACATGATAAACATTAAACAGACAGATAGATGTATTATGTGGGCATTTTCCCAACTTCAACATCCTGGAGGTTATGCTCAATTCCGGCCACAGGGGGGTGCTGTTGCTCCATATCTATGGCAAAGAGCCTTGATCACAGACTTCCTCCTTCCTTTGTACACCAGCATTTTTCTGGGATTTTCTTTATGGTGCCATAAAATACCTCCCCACTTAAGCGGTGCCTAAGTTCTCTACTCACAGCTCACAGCTGTTTTTGAACTGCTTAGGTGGAATGTAAGCTGGGCGGAAGGTCAAGTACTCACCTCGATCCGGACTTCAAATTGGAAACCTTTTGATTGATAAGATCTATTGCTGCTGGTGATTTACCAGCTGTGCTAAAGCCCAGCCCTTTAGCACAAAGTGGTTCTTGTTTAGAGGAGGAAGCCCTCCCTTGTTCCAGAACACCTTGAGAGGCAAAAAATTGGCAAAAGTCCCCACCACCCCAATGGCTAACAGATTCACAAAGGTTTTTAACTTTTTTTAACTGAAGCAATAAAAAGGACCTGTAGCTTCTCCCACATTAAGGTGCTGACATAAAATAAAGACAAGGAGATAGGCAGGAATGAACCAGAATGGATTCTTGGGTGTCTGGAATGTAAGTTCAGTCCTGATACTTTAAATAATTTTTACTGTCTGTGAGTTCAGTCCCTTGTTCATTTATTCTAAGAGTATGATCCCCTGCCTTTCAAAATCTATTATTATGCACCTGTCTCTGACTGGAGAGAGAACCTTGCGATTCTAGTAAAAACCAAAGTGAATTCCATAGGCCTAAAGTGTGCCTATTGCTGTCTCAATCTATCTTTTTCCAGTAGTTCATCTCTATGTCATGATGTTGGTGTAAGACAGTTTGGTTTGCTTGTATAAGAACAAGCTCGCAGGAAGGACATGTTACAATGACTAGGCTGTTAAGTATTGTATACCCAGAGATAAAGGAAGTACTTTATTATCAGATGTACTATGATCAATTGAACTCTGAATTCTGGACATTACCATATAGTTGAGGTCAATGAAAGGGTCATTGATTGCTACCACTTTGATTCCCTTCTCGACGCAGGCTCGGAGCACCAAGCGCCCAATGCGTCCAAATCTGCAGAAAAAAGGAAGTCAATCTACCAAAACAGAAAATGTCACAACAAACTCCTTCTACATAATTATGAAAAACAGAAAAAGATTACTTCAACATGTCTTAGCCAAGAAATTATGAATGGTAAAATCAAGGTTTGCTTTTTGTATTTTTAAATATATATTTTCCAAACCATGAATAGTAGAATCCGTGGATACAGAACCCATGGATTCAAAAGGCTGATTGTATTTTTATGGCTCCCTTTTCCATTCCCAGAATTAGGTATAGAAGAAAAATGTCTATTGGTAGAGAACAGGATGATAGAGGATGTACAGCTGTTAAGGTGTTTAAAAGGAGAAACAAAATGTCTCACTCATTATCCATCCCAAATTAGATTTTCCGATTTGAAGGAATTCAAATATAAACCTCTGTTTGTCTAACAAGGTAAATGTAAAGTTTCCCCTGACATTAAGTCTAGTCATATCCACCTCTGGGGGGTGGTGCTCATCTCCATTTCTAAGCAGAAGAGCTGGTGTTGTCCACAGACACCTCCAAGGTCATGTTGCCAGCATGACTGTATGGAGCGCCATTACCTTCCCGCTGAAGCGGTACCTATTGATCTACTCGTATTTGCATGTTTTGAACTGCTAGGTTGGCGGAAGCTGGGCCTAACAGTGGAAGCTCATCCTGCTCCCCAAATTCAAACAGCCAACCTTTTGGTCAGCAATTTCAGCAGCTTGGCGTTTAAACCGCTGCACCAGGGGGCTTTTGTTTGTCTAACTAATTTATCCTAAAGTCTTTTTAATGAGTTATAAGAGGAAATGGGCCATCCCTCCAAGCTACTATTTGGAACTTAGTTCTAACTGGTAGACTTCATAATCCCGGTGCAAAAAAACCAAACCCTTTAAGCTTCAGTAACACTGTTTACATGCATGGGCAAGTCTTGTCCTCTAGAAGTTGCTGGACTACAACTACATTTTGCCATTAGCTATCTTCATTAAGGCCATGGGAAGTTGCAAGCCAAACACATCCTGAAGATCCCAAGTTGCCCACTCTAATAAGGGTTCCATTAGGGGCTTGGGTTAGGGTTAGAGTGGGGCTCTTCAATACGAGAGAGCACAAAAAAATATTCCTTGATGGCTAAAGAACTCAACGTTCAGCACATATGCTTTCAGCCATGTCCATTTACAGCTTGCCAACTTCGCACTGGTGCTTAATATGATTTCAGCCATAAGTTTCTGGTTGCAGAGTCTCTTCTGATTTAAGTCAGCTAGCTATATTCCAACTACAGGTTTGGAGAACAGGTTCCGTTCTTTCTTATACAGCTTTGTGATAAAAAAGTAATAAAGACATTATTTTTATTTTGATAAGTGAGGTGACATCATCAGTAAGAACCCAGAATGGGTTTCAGAGACTATTTGTTAGCCAAGAAGCATATTTAAAAAAAAATACAAATCCAGCTCAAGCAATAGAGAAAAAAATAACCTTACCCATTGATTCCAACCGCGAATTCAGCCATTCGTTTTGGAGGTGGTGGTGGAGGTGGAGGAGGTGGTGGTGGTGGTGGTGGCGGCGGAGGAGGAGGTGCTTCTGGTTCGGGCTCTGGGGTGGGTGGTTGTGGTTCTGGCTCTGCTTCTGGGCTTGGTGGCACAGGCTGAGGAGAGATCTTTGGAGGAGAGCCTTCACTGATCTGGAGCCTGCAAGAAGTGAGAAAATAAGCACCTGGCATGGGCAGATATAGTTACAGAGCATACTATTCAACATATTTAAATTAGTTTAATAAATTCCTCTTCCCCAGGAAACTTCGACAAATCAAGGGACTTGGGATTTCTTTATTTTTAACACCTTCCCTTTACGCTTTTCAAGGTGGAAAAAGTATCATGAAAATGATATGAGTGTCACATAGACTATTCCACATATGATCTTGCCATTATTTTCTCAAGTATTTTCAATCTGTCCCAAGTACACCAACTGCTGAAGTACATTCTGTATTCTCAAGATTTTAATAAGTTATTTTTGTCTATTCTAGATGTGTTCATATCTCTTCCCCAGAAATGTACAAGAGACCTGACTGTTATTTGGAACATCTTAGAAAGTACAATCAAACAGGGGAAACATTGCACTTTATGTCTTAAGAGCATAGTCAACTGATGCAACAATGGCTTGGGTTTTTTTGGTGAATTGAAAAGAAATGAAAAAAAAAGTTGCATGGTTGACATAACTTTATTTGTAGAATTGTTTTTAAATTGTGTGTTATCCATTATTTTAACTGTATTTTATTTGGAATATATAGTGGGAGACAGATATAAATTCATTGCAAATTAAATAAAGTGGTCACTCTAGAAGCATATTCTTCCGCAGGGACCTCAAAACATGAATGTTCAAATGCACATTTGAAAATGGTTAGGCCCCTGCCTATGATTGCTTGGCCCTAATTGGCCATCAGATTGAATTTCAGCACTACCCCAGCCCTGGCCCTATAATCTGTGTTTGCACAAGCCATGCCCAGCCCTCTCTAATTTTGATCTGCCCACCATAGTCCTGGTTCTGGTTATTCAGATTGGCTTTAATTTATTTGAATGATGTTTTTATATTTTAATTGTGTAATTAGATTGTCATATGTTTATTGTGTTATTAATGTGTTTTACTTGTCTAACTTTGTTGTTATTGGGCTTGATCCCACTTGTAAGGGGAGGTCATCTCTCCTTCGGGGAGATGGTGATGGGATATAAAAATAAAGTAACTATTATCAAAACTGTGTTAAATCGACTTGCTATCATGGGATCTACAAATTCAGATCAAAGCAGCTGGCCACTGAGACTTCCTTTGCCTCTATTCAATCCCCAAGGAAGACTTCGAATTGACGTTTTCTTGGGGGTGGAGGGAACTACATGTAGTACTTTTAGAAGCCAGAATATGAAGCACTGAAAGTCAAACCTGATAGAAGACTGACTCAGCATTCTCATCATTATATCTTTTTTAAGAGATGGAAAAATCTTTGTGAATTCACTTTGTGAATTAAAAAAATCAGCTTTTATGTTGTGTTTACAGCTAAACTTTTCAGATCCATTTATATCTGACATGTTTAGTTCCTTACATGAAAGAATTATAGTGAAAATATTCTTAGTGAGACAACGTAATTACCATTTATCATTATTAATTGGGAGTCAATTAGAGGAAGCAGATTGGCAGCTACTGCTATATTCACATCAATGCGCTATGGATTTCACTGTACCAAGCAACAATATACCAGCAGTAACCGTCTGGATGTTTCGTTTTACACTTCAGCATAAGAACATTGTAACCCTTGAAGCAAGGTGGTGTTCCTATTTTTCCTTGTTAATTCCATGGTTACTAAATAAAATTCTTCAATGTATGTCCACGGATCTGTCAAAGATCTGGATGGCTACAAGATTCCCACCCCAATTTACAAAATGCTTAAAGATCAAAGTAAAGGTTTCCCCTGACATTAAGTCTAGTCGTATCTGACTCTGGGGGTGGTGCTCATCTCCATTTCTAAGCCGAAGAGCTGGCATTGTCCGTAGACACCTCCAAGGTCATGTGGCTGCCATGACTGCATGGAGTGCCATTACCTTCCTACTAAGGCGGTACTCACTGATCTACTCACCACATGTTTTCGAACTGCTAAGTTGGCAGAAGCTGGGCCTAACAGCGATAGCTCACCCTACTCCTCAGATTTGAACCACCAACTTTTTGGTCACCAAGTTCTGCAGTTTAACCCACTGCGCCACCAGAGAGCCCTTACATACTAAAAAATGTACTTTAAAAAATCTGAATAACTATCCTTTTCCGGGGAACTACTATCAGGAAGATGGTGTGTAATCTACATAAGGGGCTTGGATTTCTCCAGTAGAAATACAGCTCCTGGAAAAGCAGTTCGTAAATACTATAATGAAAGGCTTTTAATGTAAGCCACTGAGTCTCCTTATTGGAGAGAAAATCAGGGTATAAATAAACATAATAAGAATAATAAATATACAAGGAATAGGATATTTCTGAATTGCTACACTCTGAATATGCAGGCCCAATATTATGCTTGTATAGTACACCAATGAAAAGATCTTACCAGCACTTGCATTAACTATACTGACTCAGAGAGAAGATAGATATCTTTAAAATCCATCAGAAGCCCTTTGAGAGGTTTGCTTACCTGAAAACTTTGACACTAACTGATGTGCTACCACCTTGCTCCATTGGTGGAGAGCCATCGCGTGGGTTCATTTTGCTGGCTGACCTATCTACCGTTTCTCTACCTAGAAATACTGAAATGGGATTTCAAGAAACTTGTTAACTTTATCCAAGGCATTTGTTTTCTATTCAACTAAACTTACTGTAACCATTCTCACAGACCCTTTTCTGTGTCTTTTTTGTTGTTGTTGTTGACGTCCCTTCAAAGATGGTTCTTATGTTGCTCTGATTTAAGACAGTGTAGTCAAGAACATATTTGATATCATAAATATCCAAACATGTTCTACATGTTTTACTGTACTAAACATATGAATATGTTAATTACTTTCGAGGCTAAACATACATTCCAGTAGCACCAGTAGAAAAAAATGGAATAGGAATGAAGGTCAAAATGAATTGGCAGATATTAAATTGGACTATAATTTGATTCTGAAGAGATAAAGACAGCTTTGTCAAAGGCATCTCTGTAGGGGTTACAAAAATTAGTAGTGTAATATTTTATTGCATATCTGAAATAGTTCATTATTATTTTACATACCTGCAGTAATGATATCTAACAGAGAACATACTACATGAACTGCCATGTTCCCCTATTGTCCCCTATTGTCAAACTTGTGCTTCAACTGTCTACACATGTGCATGAAGTAATGGTGTTTTGCGCTATGGGATGCAGCAGAATGCTTGACAAGTCTTCTGCTCTGACTCAGAAGCAGTTGTTGAGGTCACACATCAAGAAAGCACATCGTCATTGTTTTCAAAGTAGTTATATAATGATGATCTTTTCATTTTGGATTTCTAAAACTTCTCTGCACTTAACTTTGCTTTATATATTGCTGGTTTCACCTGTGTTCAATTTAAGCTACAGGAATTAATAATGGAAAATATGTGGACTCTTATAGGCAGGTATTTTACAACAGGAGGGCAAAATGGGGCCCTCCAGATGTTAGAAGTCCATGATCTTCTGTAGCACTTGACACTGGTAGTGCCGCTGGGAATTGTAGTTCAACATTACCCAGTAGAAGGGGCTTTGCCCCACTTTACAAGTTTAACTATGCATCATTGTACAATACCACGGTAAGATTATTTCACTGTGTTTACTATGACAGCTTCAAAATTTGCTCTTCGGGATTCTAGTTTGCCACCAGATACAATCTACGTCAATAGCCCCAATTATAATTGAGACACCCCACTAAGCTATGAATACCTAATTTACTTCACACCATGTTTCTCTTATGAGGCAAACAAATCTATGTGGTCTATGTGAAGACAGTAAGAAATAACCAAGAAATAACAAGTAGGGAAGGTATAACTGTGAAAACAATTTAAGACCTGTTTAATTCCCCTCCCCTGAAATAAGGTAACTTGGTGAAAAACTGGTATCCGATACCTCCCATCCATCATATCTTGCTTTTTGACCTTGAACAAGATCACCTTGCTGTCATTGATCAGCAGCCATTAGCAGACAGCATGCAACTCCAAAATCTCTAGGTCTCATGATGCTCTGCTCCAGTATCATGCCAACTGTTTAGCTTTCTGCCCAAAGTTATAGTGGGTTACTGAAGATCCTAGCTCTAGTAATTTCACAAAGAATTAGCATACCAAACTGTTGCAGTCACATTGTTCCAAACAAAGAGATACAAAGATAAATCAAATCAAAGGACTTTAAAATATTTCAAGGTTTAGTCAAGAGGCTCTTACTTGGTGCTAAAACACTTATTTTCCTCAAATATGGAACATGATACAGTCACTACTGGATGAAGCAGAAGCCATTTTATTTCAATGCAGCCAACTCATCTTCACAATACTGCAGAAATATTTCTAACTAATTTTATTCAAGCACAGTTTTAAGACCCATGGCATACTACATAATTCTGGACCTTAGTTTACAGATGTGGTAACACCATCCCATAACAATCCACAATGAAATATAATGTGTACCCATCTTATATTAAATCAAATCAAATAATTATTTCGGTCATAGACCAGCACAGGAAATAGAAATCACATTTTCATACAAACTTGGTATGTTTAGTATATTAAATATATATATATAACTACTGAAGCACAATGTGGGTGAGGGTTATAAGAAAGTCTTCTGCTCTGACCCATCTTATAAGAAAGTAAAATATCTCTTGCAACAATAATTTTACTTTACAAAACATCTATAACATATGTTGATGTGTGTGTGTGTGTGTATTCCTCTTGTTTTTCTTGCAGCCTAGGTCTTCAGGATATGTATGTATGTGTATATAATATAATATATACATACACACACACACACATTCCTCTTGCAGCCTAGATCTTCAGATTTAAGAAGCATTAATGATGGTAATCAAATACTCTGTGTGCAACTGCTTGGGGGCAAACAATAGCCATAGTAGACAGGAAAAACAATGACTTAATACTGACTGCTGCTTCATCGTCATACTAACTGTGAAAACATGTAATGGGAAACACTTGTTCATTACCAACAAGACAATGTCCCCATCTTACTGCAAGCATCCAGTTACTGCAGTGACACTTGGTGGCAAGGAGCAGAGTGCCATGTCCACCAAAAGCGCATTAAGCAGACAGACACCACAGTCCAATGTAGCCTCTGCACGTACTCCCATCCTCTGAGCATTTTACAGCCACCACATCCTAGCTGCAGTGGCTATGACCTTGAGAGAAAGAGTGGCCTATTCTAGTCTTTTTTTCCGTTTAGTTGTATCTAGGTTTAGGCAGGTTTAGAGCCAGCAAAATATGCTCCAATTGGAAATTTCTCAGCATTTGCCATCTATAACCATAGTAACAATCAGCATCCAGATTTTCCCTAACAGAACAGGTTTCTTTCTCTCTTTTTCTACTAGGAAAACAAGGACATTTCATTTCTCACATCCCACAAAGCCAAACAAGAAGTCTATTCAATTTATGCTCGAGCTCAAATTGCATATTTTCCTCCTCCTTGTTGCTTGCGGCCATCTAGAGCAAAATAAATAGCTATCTGCTCACAGAAGCAAGACAAAATCCCTTTTTAGTCCCATCAAGAACAGACCCATTGAAATCAATGGCATTTACTGAGGTGTGACCAGTAATCATCTCGATGGCTCTACCTTTGAGATTGAAACTGGAGGGCTTTAACTGGAGTAGGAGAGCTTTAACCAGATATTATATACATTGAGAGCTGAAGCAACAGTTCCAAGAAAGGGCAACACAACATGAATTTGAAAGATAATGCAAAAGGGAATGGTGTCGTATATTCTGTGTGTGACCTTCTTTACAAGATGGGGAGGAAATTACTTTATGATGGTACAATGTAGCTGTAGTAGGGGCTCATTCTCCCCAAAAATGCACACTTACAGAACCTGGTCCTTATGGGATAGAGATTGCTACCCCTCCCCATGACGGTATTTCTTGTGAGGAAGTGCCTTTTCTATTCCTCAAATCCCTGAGGAGGAATCTTGGACATCTTTCAGATGCTGCTCCTTGGAGCGTGCCCGGCTGCACGCAGCACATCTCTGCCTCCTAATCTCACCGATGCGACAGTCACATGAACAGGACGGATCCCTATAATTGCCAGCTGATCTGAAAGCAAGCAGCTCCCTCACAGGCAAAAGGGCTCTTGCTTTCCCGTCTGCGCAAAAGTAATCCAACTAGACTGAATGCAATTCATGTAAATACCCATTGCTTCTTCCTCGCTTGAAACTGATACTGCTAGACTGAGTCCTTTTGCATTTCAGATCGGGGTTATTTTGATTTGTGTAATGTATCTGTGTTGAAATCTATGCCATATCCATAAATTAGCTTTTATCTCCAGAACCCTGAGATAAAAAGCCTGGGAAATTATATTAAAAACTAATAAAAGAAAATCCTTGGCAATCATGAGTTTGCAGAATGGAGTCAAATATAAATATCTGCTGTCTTTAAATCCCTGTAAACAATGGTAAAAAAAGGAGGCTCCCTCGCTTGTGCAAGAGAGAGAAGGACGAGGTTAGAAAAACAGCATCCAGGCCTTCTATAAAATGGAGATGTTCAGATCTAGCTCTCATTTTTTGACGCAGTTGCACTTCTAGAGAAATCCAGGATACCGGAAATTCATCAGCTCAATGAGCATCGTCATTGCTTCGCAATTCCAGGCCTTCTCTACTCTTTACGAAAGAGGAATATTAAATGCCAACTGTAAACACTCTTCGCAATTGTGTTGTTGAAGGCTTTCATGGCTAGAACCACTGGGTTGCTGTGAGTTTTCTGGGCTGAATGGCCATGTTTCAGAAGCATTCTCTCATGACGTTTTGCCCACATCTATGGCAGGCATCCTCAGAGGTTGTGAGGTTTGTTGGAAACTAGGCAAGTGAGGTTTATATCTGTGAAATAATGTCCAGGGTGGGAGAAAAAACTGTTGTCTGTTGGAGGCAAGTGTGAATGTTGAAAATGGCCACCTTAGTTACCATTTAATGGCCTTGCAACTTCAAAGTCTGGCTGGTTGCTGCTTGGGGCCCTTTCCACACAACTGAATAAAATCCCACATTTTCTGCTTTGAATTGTAATATAGGGAAGTGTGGACTCGTATGTCCCGGTTCAAAGCAGATATTGTGAGATTTTCTGCCTTGATATTCTGGGTTATATGGCTGTGTGGGAGAGCCCTGGGAGGATCCTTTGTTGGGAGGTGTTAGCTGACCCTGATTGATTCCCGCTGTCAGCAATTTGCCAGACTTTGAAGCTGTAAGACCATTAAAGGTGAATCAGGGTAGCCATTTGCAACATTTGCAAGCAGACAAGAGTTCTTTCTCCCACCCTGGACATCATTCCACAGATATATAAACCTCACTAGTTAGTTTCCAACAGACCTCACAACCTCCAAGGATGCCTGCCATAGATGGGATGAAACGTCAGGAGAGAATGCTTCCAGAACATGACCATAAAGCCCGGAAAACTCACAGCAACTCTTCACGATTGTCCTGCAGTTCCTTTTGCCCCTGTCTCCCCCCACCCCAACCCCTTTTTTGTTACTGGATTCCAAATCAACCAAACCGGGGATTCCACAATCCTTTCACACCATCCGCACACAACAAAATCATCCTGCTTGGTCCTACAGAAGCCCCCACTTTCCAATGTCCATGTAGTATGACATAGAAATCCGTCTAGAGTAGGCATGGGCCAACTTGAGCCCCCCAGGTGTTTTGGACTTCAACTCCCACAATTCCTAACAGCCTCAGGCCCCTTCCTTTCCCCCCTCAGCCGCTTTAGCTTTCTAACAGCCTCAGGCCCCTTCCTGGAATACAAAGCCTATATTCGATGAGTCTTCAATGGGTGTCTCATTCCTCTGGACTTGTTAAATCCCTCATCCTGTTTTGGAGGAAAGCTAACAACAATAAAAACAATAGCAACAATAAGTAAAGAGGGGGGGCCAGGGGACAGTTCCATCTTGTCTCCTGCATATGTCATCAGTTGGGGATCCCTCCCCCCAGCACCAAGTGCTGCTCTGGGCCAGAGTGGGGGGGGGGGGGGGGGGGGGGGGGGAAGGGGACAGTTCCACCTTGTCTCCTGTGCTATGCTAATAATATAATATAATGTAAAATAATATACTGCATATACATATAATATTTATAATATTGTAATGTAATGCAGTATAATACTACTACTAATATATTATAGTTATATAATTATATTACATGTAATATTACTAATAATATTACAATATAATGGTATAATGTGATATAGTAATATATAATACTGATATTGTACTAAGCTAATAATATAATATATTGTATGTATATATCTATCTTGTAAGCCACTCTGAGTCCCCCTCTAAGGCATATAAATGTGGAAAACTAATAAATATGCCTAACCCTAAATATTTATAATATTATAATGTACTATAATATAATACTACTAATAATATGATATTATAATTACATATTTATATTACATGTAATATTACTAATAATATTACAATGTAATGGTATAACGCAATATAGTAATATATAATACTGATATTGTACTATACTAATAATATAATATATTGCATGTATATATATCTTGTAAGCTGCTCTGAGTCCCCGTCTAAGGCATATAAATGTAGTAAATAAATAAATACGCCTTCTCACCACCAAAAAACAATAATAAATATGCTTTCTCACCACCAGAAACAATAATAAATATGCCTTCTCACCAAGAGCATCAACCCTTTTTCTGGTTCCCCACCTTGCCTCCTTCCCTTGCTGGAGAAAATTACTAGACGCCACCAATAGCATAGCATCATCTGCAGTCTATATTGGGGCCTCTTTGTACCCATTGAGCCCGCTGTATAAATATACACACAGATAGCATACAGACACAGACACACAGATATATGCAGATAATATAAACATAGCCATTTTTTTCTTAGCCCAGCCTCCACCTAAATGTATCTCTTCCCCCTGCCCCCAGTTGAAGGCCTGCACCATCATCATTTTCGGCCGCTGACCTGAGAGACTTCCTTCCCAAACGACAGACGGAGCGAACGGAATGAGAGGAGCAACGGCCGCGCTGCCGCTTTATATACTCGCCGCTCCGCTGCTAGGCAACGCCTCACTCCCCCTCCCTCCCCGTCTCCGAATTGGCCACGCCCCCGCTTCTCCTCGGGCGCGAGCGTTCGTCACCTGTCTCGGGCTGGCTTCTGACGCGCGTGCGCAGTCCGAGCCTCTGCCGTCCGCCAAGGTTAAAGAGCCTCCTCGCCTGCTTCGGCGACGGGCGGCGCGTGACCACAGGCGCAGAGAGAGAAAGAGAGAGAATGGTACCCAACGCCACTGGTTCTCAACAACGGCCACAGGGGGCGCGCGTGCGCTCTCTCTCTGCCAATCTCTCATACGTACGCATGCGCAGTTCTCGTATTTGAGCATCTTATGGCTGAATGCACCTGCTGCTGCTGCTGAGGGAAGAAGAAAGAAGACGGGGGGGGGGGGGGGTAATTTTAGGTTCAATTTTCCAGTGGGGCATCATTAAGACACCTTAAACTCGTGTAAAGGGCCCATATCTATCAGAAGAGATGTCTGCTCTGAAGGAGCTGGCTGTGCACATTGGGGCGTCTTCCCTGAAGCCCACTCCTCAAGGCCCTTCCACACAGCCCTATTTCCCAGAATATCAAGGTAGAAAATCCCACAATATCTGCTTTGAGTTGGAATATATAGCAGTGTGGACTGAGGGCCCTTCCACACAGCCCTATTTCCCAGAACATCAAGGTAGAAAATCCCACAATATCTGCTTTGAGTTGGAATATATAGCAGTGTGGACTGAGGGCTTTTCCACACAGCCCTATATCCCACAATATCAAGGCAAAAAAACCCCATATTATCTAAGTGTGGACTCAGATAACCCAGTTCAAAGCAGATATTGTGGGATTTTCTGCCTTGAATTCTGAAATATAGGGCTGTGTGGAAGGGCCCTCAGTCCACACTGCTATATATCCCAATTCAAAGCAGATATTGTGGGATTTTCTGCCTTGCTATCCAGGGGGCTCTTCCACACAGCCCTTATTCCAGAATATCTGCTTTGGGCTGAGTTATTGGAGGGCCCTTCCACATAACTCTATATCCCAGAATATCAATATGAATCGGCTAGGACACTAAGATCATCTGGGGAGGTGCTGCTCTCTGTCCTGCGTGCATCACAGGCGCGCTTGGCAAGGACGAGAGACAGGGCCTTCTCAGTGGTGGCCCCTTGGCTGTGGAACGCCCTGCCTGCAGATATCAGATCAGCCCCCTACCTGCTGGCGTTTCAGAGGAAAGTGAAAACCTGGCTGTTCGAATAAGCATTTGATTAAACAGCGTAATTGAACGTAGGAATACGGAATAATTGATAATGAGACTGGATTCTGATTTTACTGTTGAGGCGCTAACGATTGTTATATGGATGTTTAATGATTTATGTTACAATTGTTTTTACTTGCCCTATACTTGTCTCGTGATGTTTTGTATCGATGTTGTTCACCGCTTTGAGTCGCCTGAGGGCTGAGAAAAGTGGTAAAGTAAATAAATAAATAAATATTTGCTTTGAACTGGGTTATCAGGTAATGTGGGATTTTCAGCCTTGATATTCTGGGATATAGTGTGTGGAAGGGCCCTTGCTATGCGATTATAGCATTATGGATCCACCTTAAGGACTTGGAAAGGGTATGATTTCTCAACCAGAGATCTGCAGAGGCCCACTGAACTACAAATCCCACAAGATGCAGTCACAGGAGTTAAAGTGGAACTGTGAGCCCTTCCACATACCCTATATTACAAAATATCAAGGCAGAAAATCCCATATTATCTAAGTGTGGACTCAGATAACCCAGTTCAAAGCAGATATTGTGGGATTTTTTGCCTTGATATTTTGGGATATAGGGTTGTGTAGAAGGGCCCTAAAACACTGTGTAACAAAATTTGAAAGATTTTCTGCTCCTGATTTGAAAGTGTTAGTCCTATTGAATTGTGCAGTACTTACTGTTAAAGCAGTTGCTATTCTCCAGAAACTTCGGTTTGGTGGTTGCCACAAACTAGGTTGAATTGGGTTGCTGTGTGTTTTCCGGGCTGTACGGCCATGTTCCAGAAGCATTCCCTACTGACGTTTCACCCACATCTAGGGCAAGCATCCTCAGAGGTTGTGAGGTGTGTTCTCAAACAATATGCTGTGTCCAGGTTGATTTATCAAGTTCTCTGCTATGGCTGAATTGGTCTGCAGTGCCTTTCATGTTCCTTGATTCATGTTTGGGCAATGCTGTGCTTGGTGGTCCTGCACTGTAGACTAATTCAACCTGAGAAGTCAGCCATAGCAGAGCACTTGATGAACACAAGATATCATGTGAGAACACAGAAATGCTGGACCACTCTAACAACTAGTAGACTACACAGATAAAGCACTGAAATCCACAAGCATGTGAATATAAAAACAGGTAATCCACAATATCTGCTTTGAACTGGTTTATCTGAATCCACAACGCCATATAATCCAGTTCAATGTGGATTTTATACAGCAGTGTGGAATGGGCGCCAGAGTCCTAGTACAGCACTCAAAGCATGCTGGCTTTCCTACCTTAAATTTACATTTCATACAGCTATGTAAAAGGCATTGTGCATGCATACATACTTGATCTTGATCATGGCACACTAGTACAGTTTCAGCCTATATATGATGGGGAGGGATCAATGAGAAAAATAAAAAGTATGAAAAATATTACTTGCAAATATACAAAAAATGCAAGCAGCAGCAACAAAGAAAAGGAAGTTAAGAGATAAATGCAAAAAAGCAGGAGTTGTACAGTAATTAACGAGAGAGTTGGCTGAAAAAACAAACCAGAAGGATATACCCAAGAAGAGGGAAAAGGAAGAGGGCAAATAAATGGGTGGAAGGATAAGTATTTAGTGCACCAGAGAGACGTAATTTTTTTAAAGCTCTAGGATAAAAGCAAAGGATAGCCCCAGGATGTGAGGCAGAGCAAGAAGCAGGTGAATATTGGAGTGATCTTTCCATGCTGTTTTGCTTTGGTATTAACTGTGCTTTCTTCCATTTGCAACCACAAAGAAGAAACGGGGACAGAGATTGCTACAAGCCCGAGGCTCATGACGCCAAGATGAGCCAGCACAATTGAGCCATTAATAATTGAGAAGACAGGAGCCAAGAGAGTAGGAGGCGAGGCTGCTGAAGCAGCTGCTCTTGAACATGCCTTTGAGAAGGCCAGGTCCCTACAAGTAACTCGTTTCCAGGGAGAATATGCCCACCATGGAAGATTATGGCCCCTTATACACTGCCATATAATCCAGATTATCAAATTTGATCATCCACATCTGTTTTGAACTGGATTATATGAGTCTACGCTGCCATATAATCCAGTTAAAACATAATCTGGATTCTATATGGCAATGTCGAAGGGCCCCATACCTACCAATAAATCACAAATTATAACTGGGACACATGTGGTACAGCATGATCGGAGTGTGATCAAGATGATAAAAATTGTTAATGATGGAAGAAAAACAAGCAAGGAGAGGTTGCAGCAGTTTGCTTTTACCTCAAGGTACAGGGAAGCACAAGATTCAGTCCTGTCCTGTCTTCTCGCCCCATTGAATTGTGCAAAAACTGCTTTAGCATCTTGAACTCAGGATGCAGAAAATCAAGTAAGCTGAAGACATGGTTAAATCGGCTAGAATCGGGACAGCAGATGATTAATTGGGACTTGTTCTGGACCTTCAAGTCATTTCTGACTTACGATGACCCTAAAGTTAACCTATTGGGGAAGTTTTCTAGGCAAGATCGATTCAGAGAAGGTTTGTGTTCACCTGCCTCTGAGGCCGAGAGAGTGTGACTTGCCCACAGTCATCCAGTGGGTTTCCATGGCAGAGGGAGGATTTAAACTCTGGTCTCCAAAATCATATTAACTATTGCAAAATGTATTTCTACTGAAATTACAGGGTTTTTTAACCATTTGAATTATACGTACACATTGACATATGCACATTATGTAAATCCATGTCATTTTTCTGACACAGTGTAATCTAAAACTGATTAGAAACAGTTCTTTAACTGCTATGGGAATATCCTATGGAATATTGGGATTTGTAGGATGGTAAGGAACTGGAGCACTCTGGCTAATCATCTCTCCCCAAATAGGGTTGTTGTAAGTTTTTCGAGCTGTATGGCCATGCTCCTGAAGCATTCACCTGCATCTATGGCAGGCATCCTCAGAGGTTGTGAGTTCTGTTGGAAACTAAGCAAGTGAGGTTTATATATCCGTGGAATGTCCAGGGTGGGAGAAAGAACTCTTGTCTGTTGGAGGTAGGTCTGGATGTTTCAATTGGCCACCTTGATTAGCATTTAATGGCCCAGCAGTTTCAACGTCTGGCTTCTTACTGTCTGGAGGAATCTTTTGTTAAGAGGTGATTAGCTGCCCCTGATTGTTTCTTGTCTGGAGTTCCCCTGTTTTTCATTGTTGTTCTTTATTTACTATTATGATTTTAGATTCCCAAAACTGTCAATATACACCTGTGGCAGTTAAAATGGAATCTTAATGCAATGATTTTGCAGCGTGAAAAGGCCCATGATCTAAAGCAGTGTTTCTCAAACTGTTTTCCTCCAGATGTTTTGGACTTAAACTCCCAGAAACCCCAGGCAGCTTACCAGCTGTTAGGAATTGTGGGAGTTGAAATCCAAAACATCTGAATGAGCAGTTTGAAGAAACTCTTTGTTTGGATGGCTTCAAACAAGGATTAGAAAAATTACTAAAATATCAGCCCCTAATAGATGACTATATATACTTCCTTTTCAAAGGCAGTATGATCAATTGTTGGGGAACACAAGCAGGAAGGATAAGTCGGTAGAAAAAGGAAGAATAAGGAGGTGATAGGGCCTCTGCGAGGAGAAGATGGGGTAATGCTGACAAGATAGGGAAAAGGTAGAACTACTTAATGCTTTCTTTGCCTCAGTCTTCTCACAAAAAGAAAACCGTCCTCAACCTCCTTCTCTTGGCTGAGAGGAGACATGATAGCCATGTATGAATATGTGATGGGAAGTCATAGGGAGGAGGGAACAAACTTGT